GCTTTGCTTGTACCTTGAAATGTGAGGACTGGAAAGAATAACTGCTTCTCCTAAATCTGGGGACTAGTGTCTCCCAGGGGCATTACTTGCTATTTGATTAAGGCCAAGAGAAGAAACAGAATTGAGAGAGATGAAGGGAGAGAAGGAATTCTGGCCTCCTTAAGTCAGTTACAATAAATTAGCAACCCAGAGCTGACTGGAGAATCAGTACTGTGATCCTTCTTGCGTGTATAGGGTACAAAAGTGGAACACAAATGGGTGAATTGTACGTATGTGAATAATAAAAATGTCCACACACAAAAAAAAGTCAAGTCAGAGTATGGGATCTCCAGTTAGACTGCTTGGGTCCAAGTCGAAGCCCCATCAGTTATTGAATGGGTGACTTTACCATATTACTTCATCCCATACAGAGGTTTCTTCTGTGATCCTATCTAATAAAAGAGTAATATGTAAATTAACCATCACTCCGTTACAACCATCACTCCAATCCACACCCAAAGCCAATCAGCGAATATGCAAATAAACCCAACCAAGATGGCTACTGCCACAGAGAGCAAGATAGAGGCCTGGGTTTCCTTGGCAATGGAGGAAGCCAAGCTTTCTGTCTGCTTTGCTGGCCTAGGCCTCCACTCAACGCTTCAAAGTTTCAATGATAGAAGATACATAAATCCAAACAGAAATGGTGGCAGCCACGGAGCTGGAAAGAGCAGGAGATTAGGGTTGCCCCAGCGATGGAGGAAGCCAAGCTTTCTGCACACCCTGGCCGGCCCAGGCCTCTGCTTAAGACTACAAAGTTTCAATTATAGAAGATACATAAGTCCCAACAGAAATGGCTGCCACCACAGGAGCAAGAAGGAGGCTTGGCTCCACTCCAGGCTACAAAGTTTCAATTGTAGAAGATAAAATAAGCCCTAGATACCAGAACCTCTGCTTGGGTTGCCAGGGAAAGCGTGGCCGGCTTGCAAACCACCACAGGCCCCTCTCCCAGGCCACCCCACGCCCCAAAGGAATCCCCGCCCTGATCTGGGATACCCTACAGGGCAAACCAGCTGGCCCCCAACCATGCATCAGGCCTCTGTCCTATCTAATAAGAGTAATATGCAGATTGACCATCACTCCAACACACCAGATGGCTGCCCCCATGTAGTAAAAGATACTGACCCCATGTGGACACAAATGGCCATCACAAGATGGCCAGCAGGGCAGGGCAGTTGGGAGGGACTAGGCCAGCAGTTATATTAGTATTAGACAAAGTATAGTTCAAGAAAATTACTGTCAGAGATAAGGAAATATATTTATTAATAAGTCAATTCATTAAAAATATTACCATTAAGTTTTATGATCAAAAAGCATACTCCTTATGATTTTAATACTTTGGAATTTATTGAGACTTCTTTTATAGCCTGGGATATATGGTCTTTTTTTAGGGTCTACCTTGGCATTTTAAATGTTCCGTGTTCACTGGAAAAGAATGTGTATTCTGCTGTTATTAGATATTGTTCTTTCTGTGTCATTTAAATTAAGCTGATAATCCTCAATCTTTTCTATCTTTATTGATTTTTTGATCGTTTCTTAGTGTTCTATTTATTGCTGAGAGAGGGTTATTAAAATCTCCAGGTATTATTGTGAATTTGTTTATTTCATCTTTTAAAAAATTGTGTTCATTTTTGCTTCATGTATTTTAAAGCTTTGTTATTATATACATGCACATTTAGGATTGTTATCTCTTGATAAATTGGCTCATCATTATTAAATGTCCCATATTAGCTCTGAAATAGTCTTTTTTAAAAGCCTACTTTGTCTATTAATATAGCTCCACCAGTACTTCTCATGCAGTATTTGCATGTATCTCTTTTTAATATTGTAATATATTTGTATTTTTATATTTAAAGTGTTTCTCTTATAGACAGTATATAGTGGGTTCTTGCTTTTCTTTGTACAAATAGACAATCCATGTATTTTCATTAGAGTTCATTTATATTGAATGTAAGATATGTTTGGGTTTATATATGCCTCCTTGGTCTTTGATTACTAATTGTCCCATCTGTGTTTATTTCCTCTGTTCTTTCTTCTTTCCAGTGAATGGAATAATTTTAGCTGTACTTCTTTGTGTTATTTTATTTTTTGAAGAGGTGGTATTTTTTGTTTGTTTGTTTTTTAAATATATATATTTTTTTATTTTTTACAGAGAGGAAGGGAGAGAGATAGAGAGCTAGAAACGTCGATGAGAGAGAAACATCGACCAGCTGCCTCTTGCACACCCCCCACCGGGGATGTGCCCACAACTATTGTACATGCCCTTGACCAGAATTGAATCTGGGACCCTTCAGTCCGCAGACCGACGCTCTACCACTGAGCCAAACCGGCTTCGGCTTCTTTGTGTTATTTTAAATAAAAATACTACTTACCCATACAGCTTCATTTTGCAAATAATACCTTAGTTAATCCTGTACCCAAATTAGGGTATACCAAGAGAGTTAAAAGTGGGTACATAAAAAGAGTGGGACGCTCTGGTAGCAGAAACTAACTGTCTCCACTGGAATTCTGGCTAACCCTGCTCTTCCCCCTTTCCCCCACATCACAAAGTAGAATCATGGCCTAGTAAACATTAAGCTATCAAGATAGTCCTAACATGAAGCACATATTTCTCTACCACTATACTCAATGTAACTGGATAACCTGTACACTGTCACACTCTCTGTCACTTCCTTCTCCCACACTGTAAGGATCTTAGTAATTTTTATTAATAAAAATATAAAGAGCTAAGCTGTGACTGTTGCAGATAATAAAAATAAAGATGCTTATATAGTTAATTAGAAAAACTGCTGCCTAAGCAGGACAAATTGCCTCAGACTTAGGACCTGGCCACACTGTATACTCTCTGACATTTTCCTGAATTGCCTAATATCCAATCTGCTTATGACTTTTTGTCTCCAACTGTGTATAGAGGTTCTTGGTCATTTATAGTGGGAGAAGCTCATATTATTATTTTCTCTCTCTCTTCCTCTTCTATATGTAGACATAGATAAGTATCACATGATTATTTGAAAGACTGAAATTTTATTTTGATTTGGGTGGAAATACGTTTACATCTTTTACACTTTTGAGCGTGAATTGCCTCTCTCGGTGTAATCAGTTTCTACTTTTCAGCATAGAGATTTTATGAGTAGTATTCAGTGCAGAAAGAGAGCTCTAAAAATAATTGTGCAAGTAGGGTTTGTTAGTCTTACGTGGCACACTGGCAGGAGAAAAGAACAAAGGCAGAGCAGAGGAAAGGTGGTGGTAGGCAGAGCATTTGCCTTGATTGCTTCAGCCAAGCAAGGAGCTTGCATTTAGTGGAGAAGGAAAAGCAAACAAAAAACAGGAGATCAGCACTAGCTATTGAATGTTTTATTTTTCATCATTGTTAGTCACATATGAATAGAACCATTACAGTCTTTTTGGTGTGTGTAACTAAGCTTTTTTTTTTTTTTTTAATGGAAAATTTTGAATTTTATGTTCGAAAACACAATGAGATGTTTTTGACACTCTGCAGTTCATTTTGAAATTCACGGTCTTAAAACCCATTGACTTTCAATAAGGTGGTAAAGGCTGTACAATACATGTCATTTTTATGCCTAATAGCACCTTGGATAGTCTCTAGTGCATGTTATGTACACACACCTTACAGCATCTGTTTCTACCTGACAGCTTACAGCATTAGGCTGAATGTCGTGGTGCACAACTGAATGGGAGTGAAATGTTGAGCTGTATTACAATGGATTCTTACTGGAAAAAGTAAGATCTTTAGAGCTTCTTTTTTAGATTTTTCCATAAACGTTTTAAACTGACATATTTGCCAATACATAATTAAGATGACATACTAATTAAATGTTTAGATTGTTCTTCCAGAAATGGGGATGGATTTGGCTAGGCAACTGGTGCGCTAGAATTAAAACATGTGTTTTGTACCAGGAAACCTATTTTGCAAATGTATTGACTATTCTTTTTTAAAAAATATATATATTTTTTTTTATTTCAGAATGGAAAAGAGAGGAAGAGAGAGAAACATCAGTGATGAGAGACAATCATGGACTGGCTGCCTCCTGCACGCCCCACACTAGGGATCAAGCCCACAACCCCCGGCATATGCTCTGACCAGGAATCGAAGCATGGTCTCCTGGTTCATAGGTCGAAGCTCAACACTAAGCAACTCCAGACTTGACTATTCTTAAAAGTATATGTATACAGGGTCGTTAGAGCCAAGAATGGCTGGGATCATATCTTAATACAATATGTCCTTATTTATTTGACTAATTTTCATATTATTTAAATCAGCCCAGGGAATGAGATAATAGGTTTGTTTTCTTATTCTATTACTATAGTTCTTGGGATTTTGGTCTAGTGGTCACAAAATTTCTAGAAAAATGTTTTCCTGGACACAAGAATAATGAAATCACTTAAAAGTTTTTAATACACAAAATCCAGATTCTTAGTTTACGTGCTTTGGCCACATGCTAAAAATTAAGTAAGCAAATGCCAAACAAGGCAAAGTTTGTCAAGGCTGTGATTTATAAAGATTGTCAGCCAATGTCGAGCACTGAATACTCTCTTCCCTTCTCAGACTGAAAGTTACTTAAGAATTAAAACTATCATGCCCATCTTTCATTTAAAGTTATTCAGTTTGCCCAGCCAGTGTGGCTTAGTGGTTGAGCATCAACCTATGAACCAGGACGTCATGGTTTGATTCTTGGTCAGAGCATATACCTGAGTTGCAGGCTTGATTCCCCAAGTAGGGGGCCTGCAGGAGGCAGCTGATCAGTTATTCTTATCATTGATGTTTCTATCTTTCTCTCCTCTCTTCCTTTCTGAAATCAATAAAAATGTATTAGTTATTAGTTTGATGTCCTTTCACAGGTTGTAAACCTTTTGGACCAATTTTTGGGTATTAGATAAACAGTACACTGTTCAATTCATATTGACTGATTGTTTGTATTGTAATTTTTTAGGTACTAATTAGGATGAATGGGATTTGGAGAAATTGGATTTCCTCTCTAAGGATAAAAAATGTGCCACAGAGATACCAAAGTGGTTATCACCCAGCAGTCCCTCTGGGATCAAGGATTCTAACTGACCCAGCCAAAGTTTTTGAGCACAACATGTGGTGAGTTATCTTCTTTGGTCTGATATTATGGGTGTATATTAAACATCAACAGTGGTACTATTTTCATTTAGTGCCAAGAAAGGATTTTTAGTGCTGATCATTTAAGTGGTTGAGGCTCACTGATCCTAATTTAAGAGTTGCCAGTTCTAATTTCTTCGCAAATGGAATTAGAAAAGTGAAACTTCACAGTGCTTTCCTCAGCTTTGGGGTTCTTGCAGGCCCTCCCTGCTCACCCTGATCCTGATTTGCTGGAGTTATCACTCCAGGCCTCTTTTCTAGGTAGAACCTTCCTCCTGCCGCCCAGGCCCTTCTTCTTTGCAAAGTACTTGTCAGTCAGCAAATGTATATCCAGTACTTGCTGCTTACTACACACCTAGAAGAACACACTGGTGTGACTCTAGTCCATGCTTTCAGGAAATCTACCCTCTATTTGGAAAGAGATGTTTGTAGAAAATTTTTATAATTAGCAATACAAGGCAGCAAATTGTAAGGGATCAGCATGTTCTTACAAGGCCTGTTGGTATATGCCTTGTAAGAACAACTCAACAATACAAAATCACTTCTCTTTTAGCATAGTCTGAAGGTTTTTTTTTTTTTTCTTTTTTAATTTCAGCTTTATTGAAGTGTAACTGACATATAAAGGAAGATTTATTTAAGTGGGGAAACAGATTAGAAGTGTTTATTCGGTCTCCAGTACCTACTATAGGTGCTTTTGAATAGGCGTCGGGAGCAGAACATTCTGGGGGAATGTCCTGAACACAGGCTCTGCCTCTGGGGAGACGGAAGGGCCAGGGCTAAAGATGTGAAGTTGCATGATAGCTACAGACAAAATTACTTTCTGACCACCTTCGGAGAACAAAGTATCTAGGGCTAGGAAAGTGATTTGTGGATTTTTTTTATATTGTTATTGCAACAATATAAATTTTTAAAGGAAGTAGGTTGAGGAGAAACAACAAGATGGTGGTGTAGGTAAACGCAGTACTCACATCCTCCCACAACCACATCAAAATTACAACTAAAATACAGAACAACCATCATTCAGAACCGCCTAAAATATGTCTACATAGAAAACCTACAACTAGAGAATTGAAGAAGAAAGGACATTGAGACTTGTCGGAGGGGCTATGTTGGTTGGTCTGACACCCATGTGTGTGTTTTTAAGTGAGAGGGATATCTTGGCTGAGGAGGCCTCCCATGAAGAGCAAGTGGTCCCAGCCCCACACCAGACCCCCAGCTCAGGCCTCCTGAGCTGGGAAGAGAAGTCCCCATAACTTCAGGCTATAAAACCAGTGGGGATTGTGGCTGAGTAACACAGAGGCTGCTGGAGTCTCAGGCAATTCCTCTTTAAGGGCCGGCACACGGACTTATTCAGACTCACTCCCTTGGAGCTCCAGCACTGGAACAGCAGTTTGAAAGGATTGAGACCCATACAGGAAGGAACTACATTGTCTATCATCGGGGCAGGAATTGCAAGGGGCGCACCAGCTGTCTCCTAGACAAAAGTGCTGGCAGAGGTCATTGTTCCTCTGCTAAGATCTCCCCACACACAGAGCTCACAGGCGGGCATTATAGCTGAGTCTTAATCAATTTGTTTTCCCAGCCCTGAGATCTCACCCCATCCAATTTGGAGCCTCACCCAAGCTGTTTGCAGTGGCTTTTCCATATGAATGGCCTGTCCTGCCTCAAGCTTCAGACTTTCCTAAAATTTCTCAAACAAGTAGCAGCTGGACTCAGGATGCCCTATATCTCTTGATACCCCAGGCTCAGGACTAGCAGCAGCTTGGCAAGGTTTACAGCTTTGCCCCTCCTAGGTACCTACAAGCCCAACACAAGTAGCAGCCATCTGCAGATCATTCTATAGCTCCAGGCAGGGCACAGACAGTGGCTGAATTTGCACCTTTCAAGAGGCCCCAGAACCAGTGCTGGTGGACAACTTCAGGTCATGCCAGATTACAACTCTATCATATCCACGAGTGACACTCAAGGGGTGGTATCAGTGAGCACCGAAACCCCACTGAAGCAAGTCCTGTTCTATAGGGGTATCTCTTACACAGCAGCTCTTCTACTATAGTCACAACTGGTCCTCACAGCCAATTGCCCTGGAGGTCAATTCCTCCTAGTGATATCGACAGCAACCAAGCCTCAACTACACCAGGTCATTGCACACAGCCCACATAGGAGCCACACCTAGAATACCCAGCTCAGGTGACTGGGGAGGCTGAGCAACTAGGCCCTACAGGACACCTACTACACAAGGCCACTCTGCCAATTCCAAGAGACATAGTAGCTCTATCTAATACATAGAAACAAACACAGGGATGCAGCCAAAATGCAGAGACAAAGAAACATATCACAAATGAAAGAACAGGAGAAATTTCTAGAGAAAAATAAATAAATGAAATGGACACAAGCAAACTACTGGATATGGAGTTAAAAACAATGGTTATAAGGAGGCTCAAGAAACTTAATGAGAACTTCAGTGGACTTAGAATGTCGACAACATAAAAAAGGACCAGTCAAAAATGAAAGATATACTAACTGAGATGAAGAATAATTTACAGGGAGTCAACAGTAGAGTAGAGGATGCTGAGATTCAAATCAGCAATTTGGAATATGAGGAAGCAAGTCCATTCAAAAGAGCAAAAAGCAACACCTACTCAAAAGAGCAAAAAGAATCCAAAAATATGAAGATAGTGTAAGAAGCCTCTGGGACAACTTCAAGCGTATGAATATTCGCATCATGGGGTGCTGGAAGAAGAAAGAGAGAAAGAAATTGAAATCCTATTTGAAGAAAGAATGACAGAAAACTTCCCCTACCTGGTGACAGAAGCAAGTCCAGGAAGTGCAGAGTCCCAAACAGGAGGAACACAAGTAGGTCCACACCAGGACATATCATAAAATGCCAAGGATTAAAGACAAAGAAAGAATCTTAAAAGCAGCAAGAGAAAAGCAGTTAGTAATCCCAGAGGCTCCTTACACTATCTTCTTTTCTTTTTTTCTTTTTTGCTCCTCTGTAGAAGGGAGTGCCTATACAGCTGTTAGCTGACTTCTCAACAGAAACTTTGTAGGCCAAGGGGAGTGGCAAGAAATATTCAAATTGATAAAAAGCAAGGACCTAAAACCAAGATTACTCTACCCAGCAGTAATCTTGGTTTTAGGTCCTTGCTTTTTATCAATTTGAATATTTAGAATAGAAGCTATCATTTAGAATAGAAGCTATCATTTAGAATAGAAGGTCAGATAAAGAGCTTCATAGGAAAGAAAAAGTTAAAGGAGTTCATGACCATCAGACCAGTATTATATGAAATGTTGAAGGGTCTTCTTGAAGAAGGAGGAGAATATGAACAAAAAATGGCAATAAATACATATCTATCAACAATTGAATCTAAAAATCAAAATAAATGAACAAGGAACCTAATGAATAAAATAAACTGTTGAATAAAATAGAGCCAGAGACGTGGAAATGTGGAACAGAATCTCAGAGGGGTGGGTGGGAAGAGATGAACCATGCATTACCCATGGACACAGACTTTAGGGTGGTAAAAGCGGGGTGGGATCCAAGTGGAGGAGGGCAATGGGGGGGGGGGAAACATGGAGGGACATCTTTAATACACTCAACAATAAGATTTTAAAAAGAATTATTAGCCATTAAAAAATAAAAACAAAAGAAATAGGTTGACCATTTATTAATTAGTCCTCTACTATACAAATGGTAGTCACTAGCCAGCCACTGTGATTATTGAGGGTTTGAAACCTGGTTAGTCTGAGTTGAGATTTGCTGTAACATGTTGAAGACTTAATACAAAAAAGTTAAAATATATCATTTTGTTAATTTTTATATTGAATTATATGTTAAGATGATATTGGGGATATATTGAATTAAATAAGATGTATTTTTTAAATTAATTTCACTCTTGACAGTACCACCCAGAGAACGAAGAACAAGAGTGCTGTGTTGAAGCAACCACTGCCATTCAGATTCCTCTTATTCCTGCAGCTGCCTCTCTTGGGGATGGGGCTGACCCCCACAGTCCTCAGATCCAATGGAAATGAAGCTCATTTACTCCTTGGATCCCTCAGTGTTTCCACCCTGCCCCTCCCAGAGGTTCAGTGTTTTGTATTCAATGTCGAGTACATGAACTGCACTTGGGACAGCAGCTCCGAGCCCCGGCCCACCAACCTGACTCTGCACTATTGGTACGGGAACTCCGGTCATGACAAAGTCCAGGAGTGTGGCCACTATCTATACTCTTCAGAGATCACTTCCGGCTGCTGGTTGGGAAAAGAGGAGATCCGTCTCTACCAGACATTTGTGGTACAGCTCCGGGACCCGCAGGAACTTGGGAGGAAGACCCAGAAGAGGCTAAACCTGAAGGATCTGGTGATTCCCTGGGCTCCGGAGAACCTAACACTTCACAACCTGACTGAATCCCAGCTGGAACTGAGGTGGAGCGACGGAGACTTGGGCCGCTGTTTGGAGTACCTGGTGCAGTACCGGAGCGGCCAGGACCACAGCTGGATTGAACAGTTAGTGGGCCACAGCTGTAGCTTCTCCTTGCCTAGCGTGGACGGGCAGAAACTCTACACGTTTCGTGTTCGGAGTCGCTTTAACCCACTCTGTGGAAATGCTCAGCATTGGAGTGAATGGAGCCACCCGATCCACTGGGGCAGCCATATTTCAAAGAAGCCCCTAGAGCCCCCATCCTTGTTTGCACTGGAAGCGGTGCTCATCCCCCTTGGCTCTGTGGGACTGATTGTTTGCCTCATCTTTGTGTACTGCTGGCTAGAAAGGACTGTGTCCCACGTTCCTTCCCTCAAGAGCCTAGAGGACCTGGTTATCAAATACCATGGGAACTTTTCGGCCTGGAGTGGTGTGTCTAAGGAACTGGTGGAGAGCCTGCAGCCAGACTACAGTGAAAGGCTCTGCCACATCAGTGAGATTCCCCCAAAAGGGGGTGCTCTAGAGGAGGGGCCTGGGGGCTCCCCCTGCAGCCAGCGTA